GACATAAATGCCCTCTTAAATCTTCAACACTACAAATATTATGAACCTATCGGGCAAACAGATTGGACGAAAGAATAAGCATGTGCATTGATAAAAGAGAGGACTTTGCTTTTTCGCTATGGTAATATTATCGAGCCTGCAGACCCTGTGGTTGCACAGAGTTGTGCAAAGAAAGAAGGTAAGATACTAATCGATAATGGTGCAAAGAAAGAAGGTAAGATACTAATCGATAATGGTGCTAGTCACAAATTTATATCTTCTAACTTACTATTCACTCTATGACTAACACTAGATTGGACAAAAATATTTGTAGTACAATTAGCGGATGGACGAAGATGAGGATTCGAAGCATTATATTGGGATGTAACAATCTCATTACAAAGAAGGGATGAAAATATGATAAAAAAACAAAGCAATTCTATCCCAAGGATTTAGAAATTTTGAGTGCCAAGGAAAGTTTCTATAATTCATGAACTCAAGAAATGAGCAATTACACTTATGGGTTGATTCGAGATAGGAAACATTGAGAGCAAAAATTTCAACGAAGATCCAAAATGCACAATAGGAAGGGGATAAAATTATGAGAAGGATCTCCATAAGATTTGATAAGTTTGGGAGAGGACAAGACCCAAACAGCCTACTTGTTGAAGAATAAACTTGCGACTCATAGGCAATAGAACATAACATGGTAACATGTATATAAAAATAATTTCTTTTTTATTCTTACTATTAGATAGTGCCCATTTTTGAACTCTTTGCTTTTTTAAGGTGGTTTACAAAATGAGTAACCAAGAGAGCTTATAGTTTGAAATGATCATAGTAGGGCTCAAACTTAGACATTGAATGCAGTAATCAAAAGCAGCGCATTCAATGTTCGTAAGGAGGGGAAGCTATGCTAAGCCAAGAAATCATATTAGCTGGGAGTAGCAAAGTATACTATAGGCAAAAATACAAACCACCAGCAAAGATAAAGGTGTTTCACAACCAGGGGCTCTTGTTGTTTTGTAGGAGTGTGGCAGACCTTAGATGAAGCCGTTAGATGTTAGAGAAAATACTCAAATAAGCATATGGAACTTTGTTGAGATAAAAGCACAAAATAAACAAAGGGTTTGTTTACTTTGTGTTTTTGGGTGGCATGAGATTCTCTATAAATATTATAAAAAAATATATATTATATACGTACATTAACATAATATATATAATATACATTGCCTGTTACAAAAGATCAACAATTCAATATACAATATTATTTTTATGTTACTTCACAATTTTCTATATCCAACATAAAAAACAAATTCATCCAAAAATACTACAAAGTGAACACCCGAAATGAGCAATATGATTCACTACCAATAATGCTTGTTGTTTGGAAGGAGAGAAGTATTCATGTTGCAAAAACTTCAACTATGGGGAAATGTTTGTTCACTTTTTGTTTTTACATAGATGTATTTTTTAAGGTATGGAGAACTATGTTGGTAATAAAAAAAAATAATATTTTTTATTGAATTATTGATTTTTTGTGAGTAGATAAAGTATATATTATTTACATTGTGTTAATGTGTGTATTTTATATTTTTTAATAATATACTTATGTTGCATTACTTGTATAGAAGTTGGATCCATATATGTCAATGCAATGCATCCCATCGACGTTATATCAGATAACATTATTTTGGGATGACAATAAGATATGTAAGGTTGAAGCCAAGCATAACAAATTCTAGAGGAATGTAGTTGTGATGGATGCACATATTACGTTCCTTAGCTTCTACTATTTTTCTGTGGTATTGAGGGGAATGTAGCCAGAAGGATCTAGTTTTGCGTAATGTGTATCCTTCTCTAGTCCAAGAATTGAAAAATGATCTGAATGATGATGGTTGTACTTGAGAAGACATCTAGAGATACTGGAAAGGGGCTGCCACCACCCTCTATTCAATCGAAGCCTGCCGATATTGAGCTTCGGTTGATGGAGCAGTTAAGGGGGCTGCCACCACCCTCTATTCAATCGAAGCCTGCCGATATTGAGCTTCGGTTGATGGAGCAGTTGAGGGGGCTGCCACCACCCTCTATTCAATCGAAGCCTGCCGATATTGAGCTTCGGTTGATGGAGCAGTTGAGAATGAAAATAATCAACGCATTGTTGGGAGCATTGGAGCAGGAGTGGTTTTGAAGATTTACTTTGGAAGTAGAAGGACTGTTTTGCTTGGAAATACTCTTAGATGCCTGGATTGTATGATCAAACACTCTAATGTCAGGTATTTGAACCTAGGTATTACAACTTATAAGCACATAAAACACTTTTAAACAAGCTCTTGAAATATCTTGATTAGATATTTCAACTGCAATACCTCATTACGAAACAATCTCACAAAGGCTAGCAAAAACTAAAATTATTTCCTTACATTTCTTCAAGTAAAGATCGTTTTCAATGCAAGAGATTACTTGGGATGTATGATTACCAATCATTCTTTAAAGGGCGATGCATAATAACTCAATTGGAAAGGTGCTGGAGTTTGACTCGACTTGTTCTTGGTTCCAGCGCTTGAGTTTGACCACAAGTTTAAGCCTATTCAATAAATACTCAACTGACCATGCTTCATGAGCCCTAGTATAATTGGAAAGAATATGCAAGTATGTCAGGCCGTGACTTGCATGATATTTAAAAATAACTTGCCATTGTTGAATTCATAAAGTTTTATTGAGTACATATTTAATCTTCTTGAGCTTAGAAGGACTAAAGGCTACTCCCTACAATTGAGACTTGGTGAGCATTGCAACACCTATATAATACTCCGCTCTGTTGACAAGTTACTTGTGAAATACTTGTACTTAGCAAGCAATGCTATAGGGTGCACAACTCTATTGACAAGTCATGTTACTTGGAGCTCGAGGGAACTCGATCTACTTGACTATATGACCACTAATTAGTTTTAAAAATTGAGTGCTATCAAAGCTAGGACATTGATTTTTAATGGAGATTGCATTGATTCATTTTCATGTTACTTGGAGCTCGAGGGAACTCGATCTACTTGACTATGACCACTAATTAGTTTTAAAAATTGAGTGCTATCAAAGCTAGGACATTGATTTTTTATGGAGATTGCATTGATTCATTTTTTCATGAAGAAGCTGGTTCGTGTACTAAGAAAAGGTGTTGAATACAAGAAAATGAAAATGTGAACTCTCCAAATAATTCTTGTTCCACCGTAAATAAAATAATTGTGGCTAACCTTAATTTATTCAAGAGAAAGAAAATGGGAAGAATGGGAAGAACAATCTGACATAATAAACCATTTAGTTTTTAATATTTTGCTTCTCCAGAGTGACTCTTCTATTTTAGTTCTACCTAATTAACTTGACATCTAATCCCTGTTTGAAAATATTTTGCAAGCAGCATCAACTTATTATTAATTTATTGGTTTCTAAATAATATTTGGTAAGACACAATTTTCTACAGAGATAAGTACAGCCTTTACCCATGCATGGAACAGCTCCTGTGATGTCTAAAGAAAAGTACACAATACTTGACAGACAACCTACAACAATTAAAATTTACAAGAATTTTGAAGGAAATTTGGGGAAAATTCATATCTATAAGTTTATTTAGATGATCAGATCAACTGATTTCTTGAAAACATTTTGGGAGTTTTAGTATGTAGAGAATAAAAGGAGGTGTGATCATAGGAAAGTATTTTTACAGTGGATGTCCTGTTGTTATATTATTATCTCATGTTGTATGTATAAGATTAATATATAAAATATATAGTAAATCAAATATATTAACAATTACAGATTTACAGGGGGGGAAATAAAGTAGGAAATTAATTGCTTTCATAGTGATTACAAAATAAATAACAGCACTAAAGGTCCTGCATGTTTCATTACATCCCTAATTCACTTGTTAGAGTTGAGGTAAAAACACAAAAGTAGGCGAGCTTGAAGATAAGACAGCAAGGCTGGTTGATTGTAGGGTCTCAGCATAGGTTTACTCTTATAGGGGCCCCTTCTGAAATTAGCTAGATTCCCTGTATCTTCCATGACCTAGACTGTGTTGTTTATCCTCATTAGTAATCTTTTGTCGTCTTTTGTTAGGATTTTTAGTCTCACTCCTTTCACTGGATATCTCATATTATTGTGTTTATTTATGGAAAGTTGAATTTTGGATTTGGGTTTTAAATAGTAAAATTTTGAATTGAAATAATTTTTTGATGTGATATAATAGTAAAACCCAACCCAAAACACCACAAACAAACACACTATAATGTTTTTTATTTCGCTGAGAGTCTGAGACATACCTTTCTTTCTGTTTTTTTTTTTTTTTAAACGGAATGATCGAAATGTATATATACCAGAAGAAAGTATATTTACATCTACTCTCGGCACACCCCGGAAAAGGTTAACCAAAATCGATGAAAAGCCCACCGAAGCTCAAAAGCTCAACCCAAAGCAAGCCAAAAAGGAGTTTCCTCACAAAAAAGCGACTAAGCAAGCAACAACATTGTACCCTTTCTCTAGTATATGATAGATTGTCTTATATGCTATATAATAAACTCCATATGTTTCCCGCAACTAGAAATTGCTAAAGATGTTTGTTTGGCCTCTTGGGAGTGTTAAACTTTGTTGGAATGCCTTGAACTCCGTATGTGAAGATAACTATACCAAACTAAAATATTTACAACATAACTATGCACTGCCTATGTCAAAATTAAGAAATTCTAAGTAAGTAGCTTTGTTCTCTTATGGAGTTTGTTCACCTTGTATCCGTGATCCAACCTTATTATCATGAAGGAAACAAAAAGTGTACTCCATATTTTATTTTGGAGAAGCTTATCATTTTCACTATTTGTCCTTTCTTTGTATCTGTTTCTGTATGTATTGGTCATTATTGGTTGTATTTTCATGCCTACTCTCATCTTCCTTGGAGAAGCCTTGCATTTTATTCATGTTAATTAAATCAGTTCATAAGACTCTCATTTAACTTTGTGTTTATTATCTTCCAGCCTGACAGACATTCTGGAACAATACCAAAGTCGTGTTGAAACTGAATCAGGTCCTCGTGAAGGAGTTTCTGGTACACAAGTAAGATTCAATGTAACCGAACTTAATGAATCTCATGCTGAGACGTTATGGTTCCAAAATTTTATTTAGCATAGATATAATAGAGAGTTATAATTACCCCTACTGTTTGTGAGCATTCTCAACAGCTGGGTATGCAGAATGGCGTAACTACATGCTTTTCGTGATTACTCTTTTGACACATTTGTATTGTTAGATGAACATTTATTATTTTCTTAGGTAAAATGAAAATGAAGGACAGAATACTGTTTGGAAAACAGTCTTATGATGGATCAATTTCTACCATCTTCCTTGGCGAAAACGAAAATATGCTCAACCTTCTTGATCTAACCTTCATCTATAGCTTGCACAACCTATAGTAGTCTAGTCTAACGCATCATATCCCACCAGAACTCCGAATTAAGTGTGTTTGGGTGAGAGTAGTACTAGGATGGGTGATTTTCTGGGAAGTCCTTATGTTGCACAAAAAAATAAATAAAATAAACCATCTATAGCTTAAGTGATGGAGTTTAATTACCCTCACCTAAATGCTTTACTGCATGCATTTGATCTTTCTAGGAATCATTAAAACATATAAATACTTTCTAACATTTGGGTCATACAAAGTCTTAATTTATTAATTCCATATTGATTGATTTCCAATTTTCATCACCATCGTATTTTATCAAAATTTTATATTTAATAATTTGTATTGGTAGTCAGTAGTCTAATGCCATACTCCAATTTCACATGTAGTATATTAGTTGTATCTTGACTTCCATAAAATATAATAAAACAATGAAAAAACAAATTTTGGGCAACTAATAGAAGTCATGGGAATTTATCAATCATCTGGCTTAGGAAATGTTAGTCACTCATGGTCGTGTTCTAGAGCTTGTTTGAAGGCAGGCATATGGCATGCCGTATGGCACAGACCACAGCAGAACTTGTCATAAAATGGTATAATAAACCAAATACAATTTTTACCTTTTATCCTTTTTACTAAAATAAGATATGAATAAATTTTATATGAGTTATCATAATATAAGCAATTTTAATAAGACACAATGTGTCCGCAACAAGAGCACTTTTGAGATCTACCTATATTGGTAGAAAATTGAGGACTCTTGCCTGTACTATGTGAACAAAACTTGTGATAAGAAGGAAAGGGCATTAAACCTGAAGTTTTTTAGTCATTAAAATTCATTGATTTTCCTTTGATTTTTTTGCCAATGCTTGGCAGGTAACACATTTGATTTTGAATAAAGAATTTTTTTTTTGTTTATTTATTTAGTTAATAGTATTATCATTATTATTATTTTATTTTAAAACTTTATTTCTTTATTTATTTATTTGCAACTTATTTAGGCATATTTGATTATTTTTCCGTTAATTCTTCTCAATATTGTATGGTATTAAACTTTTGACTTCTAATACTATTGTTAAAATTCTGGAGTCTTAACCAAAAGGTCAGTGTTATGTTTTTCATTATCTATCACCATAAGATTTGTGGAATTTTTTTTTATGTACTTTTTAAAATTTGGACGTATTTGAATATCTTTTTGATTATTCATCTTAGTATTGCACGATAACAAATTTTGGTTTTAAATATAATTATAAAACTGTTATTGTTACTCTAGTTTACAAGTATTCATATGAGTTGTGGCCATCGGTTCTTCATTACATGGCACCCTGAGAAGTTACATAACTACCCCATCCCAGAATAAAATAATAAAATATTGATGTTGATGCAAATTTTTCAACAATAAAAAATAAAATCCGAAAATAGAATATTAGGTAACACATTTGATTTTGAATCAAGAATTTTTTTTTGTTTATTTATTTAGTTAATATTATTATTTTATTTTAAAATTTTATTTATTTATTTATTTATTTGCAACTTATTTAGGCATATTTGATTATTTTTGCGTTAATTCTTCTCAATATTGTATGGTATTAAACTTTTGACTTCTAATACTATTTTTAAAATTCTGGAGTCTTAACCAAAAGGTCAGTGTTATGTTTTATTGTTGCTCAAATGTTATTTTGGTCATAAATTTTTTATTACCTATCACCATAAGATTTTTATGTTCTTTTTAAACTTTGGACATATTTGAATATCTTTTTGATTATTCATCTTAGTATTGCACGATAACAAATTTTGGTTTTTAGTAATAATAATTGTTAAAGTTTCCTTTGAGTCTTGACCAACATCTCAGTTTTTAAATATAATTATAAAACTGTTATTGTTACTCTAGTTTACAAGTATTCATATGAGTTGTGGCCATGGGTTCTTCATTACATGGCACCCTGAGAAGTTACATAACTACCCCATCCCAGAATAAAATAATAAAATATTGATGTTAATGCAAATTTTTCAACAATAAAAAGTAAAATTCGAAAATAGGATATTATCTTCGAATTTGATATAATTAATATCTGAGATTCGGAATCTCTAAACACTGTAAGTAAACTGGAAAATAAATGCTACAGACTGAAAATTAAATGATGATCCTCGAATCACTTTGCTGTTGTTTGAAGATGATTGAAGATCCCCTGTTGCTGATCCCAATCCTTAAATATTCCTCTGAAACAGTACCTGGAACCGTAGCCCGAACGGTTACAACGCCTTCTCTCAACCGTCTACTAATTCCTCTTTTGCTGACACGTGTTCTCAACCGTCTTGTTACCCGCGTAACCCAACCGACCAAGCTACTATTCTCACTCGCTCTCCGCAGCATCCGACCTCCACAACAGCCGACTCGCTCATCCGACCGCAGACCAAACGACTTGTCTGTCCGACCACGGACCTTCCGACCTTCTTATCCGACTGCGGACCAAACGACCTAATTGTCCGACCACGGACCTTCCGACTTGCTTATCCGACTGCGGATCAACCGACCTTAAACCAACCGACCTGCTTGTCCGACCACGGACCTTCCGACTTACTTATCCGACTGCGGATCAACTGACCTACCTTTCCGACCGCGGACCTTCCGACTTGTGGATTGTCCAACTCGCAGACCATCCGACTGGCGGACTATCCGACCTGCGGACCATCCGACTTGTGGATTGTCCGACTTGCAAACCATCCGACTTGCGAACAACCCGACCTGCGAACCATCCGACTTGCGGACCACCCGACCCGCGGACCATTCGATCCGCCTATTTCCTTAGAAGGACGTCTGGTTCAACTGATTATTTTGAAATGCCCCTTTAATCAATTTAGCGGACCCAATTACAGGCCCACATCTCCTTCTAGCTTGGACCTTTTAACCTAATTATAAAATTTATACGTAACAATTGAGAAAAGAACAAAATGCATGTATAATAATAAAATACTGAGAAAAGAACAAAATGCACGTTTTTCTTAGACAAAATTGACATCATAGTATAGTAGACAAGATTTCTTTTCTTTTAAATTAATATTTGCTGATTTTGTAATGATTGTGAAGAAATTATTTTTGTCACTGTTAAAATTGTGTATCTTGTTTCTTACCTGTTTACGTTGCAACTTTTCAGATATGTAAAGCCACACAGCACTGTGATGGTTGTAAAGCCATACCTAGTTTCACACTGACAGTTGATCTTGTTGCATGTAGGAGCAATACTCTAAATATGCAGGACTGCACACAAGTGTAGAACTCCTCCATATTGTGGAAAGGTAGCATTGCTGGCACTGTAAACTTAGTCAAATTTTTAACTGATGCTGATTTATAATTAAGTATATTTACGTAGGGAACTTGGAGAGCCGTATGATGACCATCTTAGTGTGACAGATCTTGTACATCTAGAAAAACAACTTCAGGCTGCTTTAACACGAACCAGATCAACAAAGGTTTAACAATCCCTTGATTTATTTTTCTTTACCCTTTCTGCTATTATGAGAGCTCATGCTTTCAAAGTGTAAGCTTCATCTCTTATGCCCTTTATGCTTATGAGCACTGGGTAAAAAAGAAATAGTTAATCCTATTAAGAATTTCTGAAGACTGGAGTAGACTTCCTAATGACTATTGATAGAATGTGGATCTGTTTTGAAAGATGACTATTGATAGAATGTGGATCTATTTTGAAAGGCTGTGAGGGAAAAATTTGTGACAGCTTGAGGAAACCTCCTTAGGTAGATTGCTGATATAAGCTAGTAAGTCCCATTTTTTGAGATTTTAGATTACTCATATATTATTCATACATAAACAACATATACCTTTGTGGTGATGGTTATCTAGTGTCATCACCTATATTTAGTTTAATAATTTCATTTTTAACTGTGGGCCTGTGGATTTGAGTTTATATGTAACTCTGCAACAGAGGTAATCTCTGGAGTATTTGAAAAACCACCGACTATTTGAAAAACTGTGTATATTACCTTTGCAGGTGGAAGAAGTCTAGTCACTACCTATATTTAGTTTAATAATTTCATTCTAATTGTGGACCTGTGGATTCAAGTTTATATGTAACCTACGGAAGGAGTTATCTCCTAGAGTTGTGTCACAGGTCAATCCAACGGCACAAGACAACAGGTGCAAACTTTTAATTTGCGATTACTAATACAGGTCCAGGCTGATATCTTGGCCTGAGGAGAGTGTATAAGAGTCTGATAAAAATTTTCATTGGGGTGGTATAATAACTGAGTATCTGTTCTATTAAGTTACATCCCTATGTATGATTTTAGACAGGCAGTTATCTTTTCATGTCATGTTTATTTACTTGTGCATTTTTGTTTTTCCGGCCAAGCAAAAAACAATGCAGTGATTTACCAAAAGAAACATTGTTGCTTCGTTGAGATATATTCATTTCCTTTCATGCAGACACATTTGCAGCTGGATAACATATCACGTCTCCATGAAAAGGTATGCAGTTCTATATTTAAAATTTCCGCCAGGACAATGAAAGAAATGGTATTCCTTTCTTGAGCACACTAAACGTCAGAATATCTGATTTAGTTTTAGTTGAATCTGCAACCGACCTATCATATCCTGATTTAATGGGAAAAGAGTGCACACGACCTTAAATGAGAATCTGAACCATGCCTAAGCAAGGGACTGTTAGGCTGGGTTTGTGACATCACACCTTTAATGTATTGTTCACTAACTTTAATATGGCTTGTCTTTTGGGTGATGGTTGTTACTATCTTATATAGTCTTTCTAAGACTGGTTTCTTGGGGGCGCCTGTCATAGGACAGAGACTTAGTGCAGAAAATGTTCTTTAGACTAGCTCAGAATTCCGTTATAGATAGAAATCATCCAGGTTCTGCTCTACTTCTCAAAATCCATATGTATAATGAGGAAAAGAAAGTTGTGAGCATTCTCTCCTTTCTCCGCCAAATTCCCGTAAGTTAAGTGAATGTGATATCAGTGTCATCCTTCCAAGCAGAAAAAAGGGACTTGGGCACTTGTGTTGGAATCTTTCACAAATCTATCTTTGTTAATAGAGAACCGAAATATCTGGGTAGCTAAAGGAATGGAAATCAACCGAGACCCCATTAGTAGAAGGCCAATGAGAGATGGATTGGATGAATGGACATTGGATTTTTGTGCTCACAATGTTTTGGGGCATACAAGACAGTTCTTTCTACTTCAAATAGGAATGAAAATCTTTGGAGCATAATATTTTCTGTCAACCTCAAACTATGATACTTTGTTCTCTTTAACTGTTATCATTGCTTTCTAAATTTTAATAACTATATTTACTGCTTGCAAATAATGGCATAATATAGTGGGGAATTTGGAGAAACAGGGATAGATAAGAGAATAAAAATGAACAAACTGGATAATCGGTTGGATCGTGTAACAAACACTTTTTGAAAGTTATAGTTCATCCCTATTATCGAGTTTACATGAATTTAATGGGATAATCCAACAACACACTCACAATTTCAATATGAAAAAGGGGTTTAAAATAAAAATTTTGTTGATGCTTGTATTCTTTATCAACCAACACCTCAGAATTTGCCCTCGGTACCTCTTGGCTCATATATAGCTCGACATGATCCTTTTTGATAAATCCTAATCACGTTGCAGCTGATCCATATGAATAGTCCTGTATACTTATATGAAGAAAACCATTTTTATATTAAAGTTAATGGAAAGACCAACCAACTAGACATTGTTGCTAAGCAATACAGATGAATGGAGATCGTTTTTGCAACTAGAGAAAAGGGTTTAATACAATCCATAACATAAACTTGTGTAGGGGCTTTGGTTGGATCCTTGGTTCTATGCATCCATGGCAGTTGAACTCTAAAACAAATGAGCTTTGCCTATTTATCGAGAATGTTGTCGACTTCCGTTTGTAGATAAATAAATAAATGATGTATATCACTAATAAATTAAGCTTTTAAGTGAGACGGTCGTTTATAATATCTAACATGATAACAGAGTTTTAGGTCTTGAATTCGAGTCAAACTGTAAGTAAATGGCTTAAGCTTTTAGGTGACACGGTCATTTATATCATTTATCTGAGAAGTTTCTCCCCATCAATTTTCAATATACTAAGTGAAACTGTTGAGGTTGGTTTCTATTTAGTTGTTTTGGATTTCTACCACCCTTTTTATAATAAAATCTAGTTCTGTTTTCTAGAAAAAAAAAAAAAAAAAAAAAAAAAAAAAAAAAAAAAACTTGTATGTAATCTTCCGTCTTAACTTGAGCCTTCAAACAATCAATTGTGCTGCTGCAACTAAATTAGACATTGACTATTTATCCTCAGATAATCAACTTGCAAACATATTGATAGTTTTATGAGGCACTTGATTTGAATACATATGGATTAAGTTTGGACTAAATGGCTAGAACACTCCAGCTTGGAGTGGGTGTTAGATTAGGCCCATTTAGGTATATGCATGTATATTATTTGTGCTAATTCCTTGTGCAAACACATCATTGAGAATATAGAACACATATTTACATAGAAGATAACAATCATACAAATAGAGAATATGAAAGCAGCAATAGATGCTAAGAAAGAAAATTTTATATATGGCGAAAAATTACAAGATCTATGACCTTTTCAAATGGCAATGGGAATATCAGGATTATTCTACGTGGGAGATGAAGATGTAAGAGATGGTGGTGATGGCTGAGAGTCAACTTCGAGTACTGACTAGCGAAGCGAGGCATATGAGAATAAACTTGCAAATTAAAACAGGTTAAAACGGTTACCGGGGTAAAAGATAAACTCTGGAATCAATAGTTGACTAAGAATTGGACCAAGAGCAATGTGAGACACAACAGCCGAAGTGAGATCATCACAGCAAAGCGTAACAAACGATGAAAAACTAAGTCATCCTTGGTGGGCATAAGACATGGATAAAGTTGTCTCATAGGTGACATCAACATATACAAAGAAGTTATTTAGAGATGGACTGAAGCATTTATAATCTTTTTGGAGACAACAATACCCAAGAAAAAAAGGCATGTATAGCTGTATGAGAACTTGTCAGTTCTAGGTTGAAGCTGGTGAATTCAAAATCTGTGAAGACAATAAGTAAGAGGATTTTCCTAGTGTCCTCTTAATAGCCTGAAACTTCAGAAACTTTAGTGTACTCTTCTAGAGAGAGGATGCTAGACTAGGTGCTGAGCCAATGGATGGGAAAAAGTAGCAAAGCCATAATTAAGGATCACAATGTGAGCCAACCAAGCTGGGATATTTGTCCCAGCACGTTTTTTCCTCATGAGCATCTTTATTGCGATGAATACAAAGAGGTTCACCCTATACTACAACAACCTTGTCCACATGACTGTGCCACAACTCTATCTTAGTTTTAGACTTAGGTCATACCATGAATGTAAGCGTATTGAGAGGAGATGCAGTAATAGAGCAACATCAGCTTGTCAATTTTCTACAAATGCAGAGTGATGAAAGTGAGAGGTGTGTTTTAATTTTTCTAGTCACAATATTGGTGGGCATGGCAGAAGTAGGACAATAGTAAAATAGTTGGTACCAATTATAAGCATGAAATAACACTAAAGTTGGCCTCGACATGGAAGCCCAAGCAACTGTCCAGTTTTTGTCTCATTTGACTGCCAGCATGTTAGTGAGTTTCTGGAGAAAACAATCGATGTCAGTATGGTCGCTGGAGCTTCCTGATTAGGATTGTGTGATCAATTACTGAGTTGACAGATGCAGTGGAGATGGTTTACTGAAGATGAGGAAAGATACAGGCACTAGGCTACTGGTTTCCGGGTCTAGGTTTGTTATAAGGAGCTTCAGTAAAATACTTTGATAGTGTGAAAGGAGTGGAACTAAAATATCTCCAAAGCTCATTTGATGCTACAAAAACAATATATGAATTTATACACAAGTTAAATGAGCTGAAAAACAAAACTAAGGACAAAATTTTAATATCCAACTGTGTGCAACTTAAAATGCAGTGATTGAAATCTAAATAATTTTGTTATATTGGTGTTATGTATAATGATATAAGTCCTTAGAGGTGAAAATGTGGTAATATAGAAGATGATTATAGATGGATATAAAAATGTGTGTTGATAACTGAATTGTACTGTGGCTAGGAATGATCTCCCCATCACATTTTTATTATCTGTCGTCCCTTGTACTATGCATTTATCATCTTAATTAATAAACTATTTTACTCTTCAAAAAATAAAAAATAAAAATTGCACATATCTATGTTATCATAAGCAAGACAGCTTCAAAAAATAAATAAAATTGCACATATCTATGTTATCATAAGCAAGACAGCAGGTTTTTAGATAATGCATATTGAAAGTAACCTGTTTTTTGTGATATGTAGAGTATACTCAAATGGGATCCAAACATAGGGACTACTAGAATAAACTTTCTAGTCAGTTGCTAATAGTTTAGAAGATATTAAATTGTTAAAATCCTGTGCTTACTCCTCTCTCTTTCTCTCTCTCTCTGGTTTTTCTTTTTAACTTGAAAAATATTATTATATTTCTGTTATTAACTGCAAATAAAATGTTGGATTCCTTGAAAAAAAAAAAAAAAAGTAATGAAATCATAATCCTCTAAGTCATGGAAGATTAAATATGGGCATAGAAAAGAGTCATCATAGTATCAATTTATTTCCATTACGAAAGTTAGTGTCACCTGTAACTAAGAGAAGTAAACATTTATTGCACCTAAGTATATAATGTTCCCTTCCCCCAACCAAAAATTTTACTCGTCTCTGTTCTGCTGCTTCCATACTCATCTGTAAAGCAACTAAAATTTTCCTCGAACAGGAAAAGATTTTGGTAGAGGAGAAGGATGATCTGGGGGAAAAGGTAATCAATGTTGAAACCCCATTGAGATTTAAAGAAAAACATAAAGAGTACTGCCACGTTGTTTGTCTATATTAATCTTGATTGCACTAACAGATTGCTGGAAGCACTTCAAATGGGAAAAGAACAAGGTTGATATTGGATCTCAACGTTGTAGCCAACGACAGTGAACTGATAGAAGAATAACATATATTGCATGAACTTGCTCAAATCATTTCAGACATGTAATTCAACAGCATTGTGACAACTCAGCTGAAGGGGACTTAGCCAAAAGTTGCTTGCACCTCATCCTCCTCTGTATTATGACACTCAGGCTATTTCTGTGTAGTGTAAGCTTCTTAATCCCTTTACTGTATTATCACCTTTTTGGCACTACTGATTTATCAATGCATGAAGTTTCTAAGTTTCGTCAACCAGTGTGAAGTAGTTTTCGTGAGTCGTACCTGTTTAAAGAACTGTTTGTTGAAAACAAATACTTGGACTCATGCCTGTTTAAAGAACTGTTTGTTGAAAACATTTATTTGGAACTTGTATGTTAAGTGACTTTTTATTGGCTTGCATACCTACTGATGTCATTTTTAACTTTGTTATTTGATCCATGAGCCTACTAGAATTCAGGTACAAATAGCTCCTCATGTAAGACTAGGCATCCCCTCAGTTCTGATATCTGATTTTTTTACCTAGCACGTATAGGGGAATTATTTAACAAGAATAATTTGATAAATAGATGAGTAGATGGCGGCAAGCTTTTACGGTATTTTCTTAGCTCCAGGAAAGTGTAGAGATTTTCAAGGGTGTGGTGAAAGGAAAATAATGTGGACATTAAGAGTCATGTACTCGCACAGAAGAAAAAAAATCATTGCATCTTATTATGGTCAATGTTTAGGGACGAGAGAGCAAATGGAACATAATGAAGAGGACATGATTGTTTTGGATTCCTGCCCAGTTTAGCGGACTTATGTTTGTTATATAGGATGGCAATTGGTATTTTTGAGCTTAGTTTTTCATCCCCTTGGACTAGATAGTGTAAAACTTGTGCAGGATATTTTGTTATTTCTAGGTGGAATATGGATACATTTCGAATAAAAGTAGGATCTAAAAATATATAAAATGATATAAAACTAGGTGGATATGCATTTGTTTTTTTTAATCATATTTCACATCTATCTTTTGATTATTAAATGGTATCAAGGTTTCAATCAAGAACTAACTATTCAAATGGGATGGCTTGCAAGTGTTAAAGGGTTTATTAGGAATCATTTACTGCACGTTATCTTTATGATGTCCAAGTCCAAATAAATAGGTATTGCATATTCAATCATGCAAATTGTTGTCATTATCTACCTCCTATCAAATATTGGTCCCCTCCTAAAAATCTTGTTCTAACATGATTTAACAAATGACCTCTATTGGAAAAATGACTTTCCCCCATGGATGCTTATTTTGAAATAAAAAGGCTATTTACTCTCATTTTTAAAAACCAATATATTATTTCTGGAAAAAACAAAAATAATTTGACAAAATGACGATCCGAAGATGGATAGGATTGTATTACTTGGCTCTAAGAGTTCTTGGCTTCAATACTTTCTATCTCAGCACTTAATAAAGTGCAATTTGAGTATTAAAGTCAAATATGGGTTGATAGATTTGGTACTTGTTTATATCTTATGCAGCTTTAAACTAGATTTGCTATTATATAACTCTTATAACTTCTAAAAGAGAACATGTTAAGTAGGATATTGTTTCCTTAATCTCCATATTTTTTTTATTTTTTATTTTGATCGGATTCTTAATCTCTATTTCATTCTATATAAATGTGATGCATTGTTCCCAACATGTACTAGATTCTAAGAGTTGACATGTAAATGGTCTATTTTTTACCTTGTTATACACAAGAACCATTAATATAGCCAAGAAATTGATATGATGATCATGCAAATATAAATCTTCATTTACACATACTTTTCATTGCGCACACAGTTTTCAAACACAAACATGAAACCATTACTTCAATCCTTAAAGATGCTAAATGTGATTTTAAAAAGATAGGCCATTTATTAACCCCAAAAGCTCATAAAATAAGTTAATATACTATAACACGGAATTTTCTTATTATAGTGGAAGTGATGGATGCAACATAAATACAATTGAATTAAAAAATGGATGATCCCTTTAACTACCTATGTTCATAAAATTCGAAACATGTGAAACATCAAGATGATAGCTTAGAATGCAGTGACTGAAGATAAGAATAATTACTAAATTCCTGGATCAAACTAAGGGAGGTCATATTGCAGAGAATTTATAGCATGTTAGCTTGAGCATGTTTGATTTCCAAAGCCACAAATTGTAAGAACGATAAGTGATATTACTTCCCTTAGGACTTTTTTGTATGTAAAGAAAGAACTTTAGGCATGGTGTAATAATAGGTATAAATAAAGAATTTAGGTTTTAAAAATTTTAAAATTATATGAAACATTTTCAACTTTTTGTAAAAGATAATAATATTACTGCTTGTTCCTTATAGATTTAAAATTGATAGATTTCAAATCAATCATGTGGATAATTTTCTTGAGTAATTTATCATAGATGGACCAATCGTGCTCATGTCTATTTTATTCTCTAATCAATCAAATATGTTTAGATTTGCTGACCACTTTTTCAAATAGTTAAAGATCCACAAGTGACATATTCAAAACACTGGGACTTCAAATATCCTATAGATAAGGTTCTTTAGTAACTTATCACGTATGGACAAATCATGCTCCATCTATTTTGTTCTCTAATAATTTAAATATGTTTAGATTTTGCAAGTCACATCTTCAAACGCTTATGGTCCACAAGTGACATATTCAAAACATAGAGATTTTAAAGATAAAGTTTTTTAGTAACCCATCATGGATGGACTAATCATGCTCCAATCTATTTTTTTTATTCTCTAGTAATTCAAACATGTTTAGATTTTGCAGGCCATATCATCAAAAGGTTATGATCCACAAGTGACATTCAAAACATGGGGATTTCAAATCATCTTATGGATAAGGTTCTTGAGTAACTTATCAAGGAATGACCGGCCGTGCTCCTATCTATTTTATTCTCTAATAATTCAAACATGTTTAGCTTTTGCAGGTCACAGTTAACATTGGGAGTCACCTTCATCCTTATATTTTAAACATTTTACCAGTATTGAGCTACATTATGGTTCTTGCACAAACTTCGGTGATGCTTTTGTAACAAATAGATGTCTACAATACATTTTGGTATGCTTACTTGATATAAAATCTTATTATTAGAGAAATCTAGGCATGGCTATGCTTGAACAATTTCTTTTAGGGGTGTGTTTGTTTGAGGGTTTGGAATTTAAGTTGTGATTTGATTAATGAAAAAATTGAATTGAAATAGTTGTACGATGTGATATAAATAGATGTTGATGTGATATTTTGAATGTAAAATTAATTTTAAGTATAATATAAAAAATAAAAAATAAGTATTTGATTTGATAGTTTTTTAGAAAAAAAAAAATAGTGAATAATAGAAGACGGACAAAATCTTCCAAACGAATACACCCTAGGTGAAAGCCTCACCTCTCCTTTTGGTTGATGTTTGGTGGTGGGGGTTGGGAATTGAGATTAGGATTATGATTGAAATTAATAAAAATTTGAATTGAAATACAATTTGATGTGATATAAATAGATATTGATATTAAACTTAAATTTTAATATTAAAAAAAAAAAAAAAAAAAACTAATTTGATATTTTGTGATGAAAGAATGTGAATAGTTATTCGGTTGCACCAAATATATATATATATATATTATATGCATATATATTAGATGTGTGGGCAAGGTTTATGGTATATAATATGGGAACATGGGAACGTTTACTTCAAATGATTGCATTTATTTTGATAGATTAAACAATAGATAAATTATATTATTTAGGAATGTTTCCAAGTGTGTGACACTTTTTTTTAGGAATGATGTTATATGGGGTTTGCTTTATCCTTTTTTTTTTTCCTTTTCAATTATTTTTTTTATGAATTGATTGTTACCAAGACTACTACTACAAGAGTCTCAAATTCCTTTCTGAGCTGACGAAGGGACTTAGTAACATATGATATTTTTCTTCAATTAAGTAACAAGATTACTCATCAAGATAATAAATTATGATTGTATCGAGATTAATATTCTAAAAGGTTTGAATTCTCATCTACTATCGAGATTAATATTCTAAAAGGTTTGAATTCTCATCTACCCACGTGAAAGGACTTAAGTATCATATGATATTTGCCTTCAATCAAGTATTGGGATTACTCATCAAGGTAAAGAATGATGTTTCTACCAAGACTACTACTCCAAAATGTCGGATTTTCTTCTTCTAGCGAAAGGACTCAAGTATCATGTAATAGATGTCTTCAATCAATTATCAGAATTACTTTTCAAGGTAAGAAATGATGATTCTACAGAGACTGCTACTTTAAAAAGGTTCGAATTCCTTCCTAAGCTAGCGAAAAGGCTCAAGTATCATGTGATATTTGCCTTCAATCAATTATCGAAATTACTCCTCAAGGTAATAAATGATTATTCTACTGAGACTACTACAATATGTTTGAATTCTTCTCTAAGCAGACGAAGAGACTCGAGTAGCATGTGATATTTGTCTTCAATCAAGTATCGGGATTATTCATCAAGATATGAAATGATGATTCTACCGAGACTTCTACTCTAGAAGGTTTGACTTCCCTTCTAAGATGGCGAAGAGACTAAGTATCATGTGATATTTGACTTTAATTTCCTTCAAAAATTTTCATGAAACATATTTGACACATGATTGGTTCAAAAAAAAATCATCTATCGTTGCTTTTTAAAATTGTTAATAATTTTTGCAAGTTCCCTAATGTTCTTTATGTTTATAATGAGAAACATCATTTTCACATGCTTGATGTTTTTGCAACTCTTGGATTCCAAATATTACAATCTTGTGGTTTCTGCTTGCCGATGGATGATCATAGCGGTCCAAAACATGCTTTTGGAAGCTACTAATTTGCCAATTATTTATCATGGTTGGGCCGCTCAATCACGATTGTCATTCACTCGTTTAGCTTTTGTCAATGTTGGCACAGAAAGTAGTTTCATCACTAGTCATGTTTTTAATATTTATGCATTTCACTGCTCCATTGGAAATTCTTGATTTTTCCACCATATCCTCTATAGCACAAGTCCTTTCACAAGCAAGTTTTCTCGCAAGCAATGGCTAGGGCTATTGGAGTCGATTCATTTAGCTTTTGTCTAGTAATGTCAATGTTGGCCAAAAGCTTTCTTTTTATCTTCACACATTTCATTGTTCCATTGAAATTCATGTTTTCATTACCATGTTGAACCCCGTCATAAAGCAAGTTTTACTTGTCATCATTGTAATATCACCAATCGTTTTTCCTTATTATTAAGGAATGAAAATTATAGCCAAACAATGAGCTCGGTGTACCTTTGTACACCAAACATAGCAAAATAATATATCAAAACATTAGTGCAATCAAGGTTTCGAGAAAGGTATTAGACAAAGT